GGACGGAAGGCTGAGTCAACCTTGAGCTGGTCAGAATTACATCCTGGCAATGAGCCATGAGTTAGCCTGCACTGAGTGAGGCTAAGCATTCTAACTGCATTCTAACCACTGTGTCACCACAGTTTAGGGTCAGTTTGTGATGGCTGTTCTTCTTCCTTCCTGCTGAAGATTACCACTAGCTCCATGATGCTTCAGGTAATCACCTATCTTGTCTGTTATACAATGGCTTGTTAAAAAGGGCATGCAAGTGCTGAGAGAAAAGCATGAAAAAAAGATGTTAACTGTCTAGGGAGATTCTCAGTCACCCAGGTCATAGATGTCTCAAAGGTGCTTTTTCAGCAGGGGTGGGTTTTTTTCCTTAAGAAAGAAGATGTTTTGTTTCTCAAGCGAAACGTCTTCTTCTTATTCTTCCTCAAGGAAAAAACAGTCCAGTTGCCTTTTTAAAAAAGCACCTTTGAGAAAAAAGATCTTAACTTGAGCTGAGGCTTCTGGGAACTGCCTAGATATGGCCATATCATTTTCTTGGGAACAGAATGCAAATGGTTTGTCATTGTCTTTTACCAGGACTTTTCCTGACTTCTTAGTCTTAACTACAGTCCTGGGGATTCTAATTTTGCTCCACATTTTCATTTAAGTATTGTAACAAGTGTCCCTAATATTCACCTTTATCTCTCATCAGGAGTCCGTCAACTGAGGCTTCCACATACTAATTTCGTATACAGACAAGATGTAGTCTAACTTGCGAATCTTGATTATATTGGGGCTACATCCAGAATTCCATGTTTAGGACAATGCCAATCAATTTGGACATATGCTGACCAATATGTGCCACAAGGTCAACCAAAACCCAGTTTTTCTCCCAAAGTCTCTTACTAGGCCAAGCAGGTTCATGCTGTTCTATCTTTAGGATCTCTAATCTGGAGACTATCTTGTTAATCCATATACTATTGGTCACATCCTACCAAAGGGAGGACACTTATTGTTTATCAAGCATTTTCTAAATGGGAATCATTCCACATTCTGGATACTCTGGATTTTCAGCTAGGTTTATTCCAGAATGAAATAACTAGTCATGAGCAGGAACGCTGTGTGTGTATGTGTGTGTGGTTTTTTTTTTTAATTTGAAAAAGGTTATAATGCTTATACTTGGAAATACTGGTGTTTCTTCCCTCTTTAGAGGAAAATATGTGATATTTAAATTTAAATTTAGTTTTATTGCTTTTTAATTAATAACAAAAAAGAGCAAAGCACAAAAATAATAGTGATAGAAAGATACATTGTCAAAGAGAAAAAAATACATAAAATGTGCTTTAACAATAAAAGTGAAAAATTCAGCAAAAAAGAAACACACTATGGTATATCATAAAAATAGTTACAATTCTACATTTATTATTGAACACAAATATTTTTCAAAGCATATATATTTCTGATATATTCGTGGCTCTTTTTTTAACCTAATGTAATTTCATGGCACTCTCATGGGTTTAACCCTATTATTTTGACTAAAATATTTTATTTTTATTTAATTTAACAGTCTCTTGAGATTGCCATAAATACATTAATTCTTATAATCCTTGAGATGCCAAACTTCAACTTTTAAAATTTGAATGGAATGACTAGGCTTCCTTTTTATTTTATTTTATTTTATTAAAAATAAAGTGCATTCAGGGCCAGATCCAACAGTCTATATAATGCCATTCCAACTCTGGTTCTGAACTGGAGAATGTTTTTATTTATTTTTAAAATATTTTGAATAAAATCACTCTTCCAAACAATAAAATGTCATCTAGGTGTTTCTAACCTTCAGTTTGAAAAAAAAGAAAGCAATTCAGTTATTCTTCCAATGTTGATCCTATCTTGATAAACAACAAACAAACAACAAACAGACAACAGAGAAACAACAAAGAAACCTCATAACTTTTTTTTATTATCTGAAGATAACAGGCATTTTACATAAAGTAAGACGGACACAAGTTGGTTACATGGCGTCATGCTGCAGCCTGCTTCAAAAGAATACAATTGTATTTATTTTAAACTATCAGAGAATAAATAAATATTATACATATTTGCATTGCCAGGTAGTGTATCCTACAACACAAAACTGTTACACTATAGCTTAATTTTTACAGAAAATTATATCAGTTTTTTTTCACCCTTTAAATGTTTAGGTCTTTATCTGGATATGGCCCATATGCATGATTTCGATATGGTAATCCTTGACTTACAAACATATGTTTAGCGACCATTCAAAGTAACAACAGCAGTGAAAAAAATGACTTATGACTGTTTTTCAAACTTATGATCATTGCAATATCCCCATGGTCATGTGATCAAAATTCAGTTGCTTGGCAACTGACTCCCACTTATGATGATGGCAGTGTCCTGGGGTCATGTGATCACATTTTGAGATCTTCTGACAAGCAAAGTCAATGGGCGAGGCAGATTCACTTAACAAACGTGTTACTAACTTAACAGCTGCAGTGATCCACTTAATACCTGTGGCAAGAAAGGTCATAAAAAGGGGCAATACTCCCATAACAACTGTCTCACTTAGCAACAATTGTGGCTGTAAGTTGAGCCCTACCTTTAGAGGCATTGTAAATCACCTTTTTATAAACAGCTCCCCAACATCTAAATTGATGTATTATGGGGGTTTTTTAAGCCACAGAGGTCTTTTAAACATCAGTAGTAACAGATCAGTTCATGAAACATTTATTCTCAAATATGACTTCTCTTGAGATAGAATTTCCTAGCCCCAGCGATGTAAAGTTTAACAGTCCTTCAAACTTGTTCTCTCCTTTTTCTCCACTAAAAACAAATACATCAGTGCATTTTCTGTGCATTTGAATTACTTTATAAAAGTATGAGTTTATCCAGAGTACTTGGGTGGGCCTAATAAACATACTGCGTTCATGTTTTTTTTCTCATCTTTAAGTTGTTATATATCATTATTTTATAAAACCAATATGCGGTCTGATGAAATTTGTACTTTTGAAAACAAGCTCCAGATGTAGTTCCCACTTATCACCAGAGCAGGATATTTATTTAGCTCTGTACCTTATATATAACTATACAAAGTAGCCCATCTTCAGGAGGTTTTAACAGATCTTTGACTTTTGGGAGATAGAACTGATTGACCCCAAGATTTTTCAAACTCTGTTTTGCAAAATTTTAGGATTCCACAAGAACTTGATGAGTTTCCAACAAGAAATTAAGTAAAAAACAGAGGGGAAAAAATTCACTTGAACACAGAAAGTCTCTTATCACTAAATCTTTACTTCCTGATCAGGAGTTCTAGGTATGCAAATATTTCTTTCAGCTAACAGATTACATACCCTGAAAAAGTTTGATAATCCCCAGTTTACAACTTTTGATCAGAAAGGATCGTCATCTCTTTTATCAAAGGAGACTGTATTTGAAAGACAACATCTTTAATCATTTTAATTCACTGTTAATTTATATGTGGATTTAATATATGAGGGGATAGGAATCCTGTAGTCCTCCAGTTGCTACTGAATTATCGCTTCTATTAGCCACAGGATACTGGGAATTGTAAGGTATATCTGCACTGCCTTGCAGGCTTGTTCCCACAATGGGACAGCAAATATGTTCAGGCTAGAAGTGGATAATATCAGCCTTTACTCACCTCCATCCTTGAATCTCCAAGTAGCCTTTTTGCCTTATGTCAATCCAAGTTCTTTTGTCTGTTTCAGCTGAAGGGCTAACCCTAGCAGTTCATTTGCTACTTTGCAAAGGGGAAAAAATGCTCCCAAATTGAAACAGTACTTGCCCTGATCAAAGACATTACTTCTAGCAGTGCCAGTCAGATAGCATGGTGCTTAAAAGCTTGGGTTGATAAATAAGAGGTTGCTGGTTCCAAACCCATTAGAAATGTGTGTGTTTTTAATTACTAATTTCTTTTTTTTAGATAGCTACAATGGTTCTTTTTATTCTCTCATTTATCTCCAGGGATTGAAAAAGAATAATGAAACGATGAAATGCTGCACTATTATTTTTAAAAGCCCTCAGCTGGCAAGCTGAAGGAAAGAGAATAATGACAAAAACATTTTGCAGCAACCTTTTTAAATACTGGTATTTTTTAAAAAAAAGATTTTAAAAAATACCATAGTGTAGGACAATTGGCAAGCATGGAATTTTATTTTGGAAGTTGGGTGTTGAATCTAGTTATATATGCATTTGGATTATTTATATAAATATATAAATTTATATATCTATATAAATTTATATATGTATTTATATTTGTGCGTGTGCATATACATATACAAAAATGTATGTATTTGTATTTATCAATCTTCCTATATATGTACAGACATGAAAATGCACAGAAAGACAGAGTAATTGGCAATGCTTTCCTTCAATAACATGGTAAGAGCGCACAACATGGAAATGTCCAATTTGAGGACACGGCAGTCTGCAGTCTAATCTTCCTAGCAAACAGTGGCCGAACTGACTCAGTCCAGGTATGTTTCACCAAGACTGATTTAGACAAGAGCAAAGGACAGGAGCAGCTTAAATGGTAATTGCAGATATGTTCAAAGCTTAACAATATCTGGAACATTTCCCATAGCCTTATTGTGAAAATATTCAGGAGAAGGTGTCAAACAAACAGTTCATTTCATTGCTTCAGACTGCAAAAAGGGAGTTCATCAGGTGTCTCCACATAAAAACTAATATTTCAGGGATAAGGGGCATAGCTTAGTTTTGTTTCCAGCTTCTGGCTTTCAGTCTCTAAGACAGTGGTGGCGAACCTATGGCACGGGTGCCAGAGGCAGCACTCAGAGCCCTCTCTGTGGGCATGCGCGCCGTCGCCCTAGTCCTATGCCTTCAGCTGGGTTTTATAAAAACTTTTCACTTTAGGCCTCCACCGCTGTGTACAAAAAAAAAAAAGGATCAATCAATCAGTCAAAAAAGATCTTGCAAAGTTGGAATTGATTGATTGAACTTTTTAGTCACACCCAATCTGCTGTTACCATCGCAGCCACGCCCACCCAATGGGCCACACCCACCCGGCACCCGACGATGCATAAGTGGGTTTTGGGTTGCAGTTTGGGCACTCGGTCTCTAAAAGGTTCGCCATCACTGCTCTAAGACATTTGTGTATGTGATATTGAAAATCAGAGAGAGATCTTACACTCAATGGAAAGCTTCCTTCTCCTCTGCCCAGGCTAATTATATCTTCACGGAGTGGGAGCCATTGATTATATAAGAGAATGAGCAGCTTGGTTTGAATGCAGATGATGAAATTCTTACTTTTGTCACCCCCACTTTTTTCAGGGGCTCCTGCTATCTTTTGCATGCAGCCCTTGGAAAGTACAATATGATCCTTGAGTTAAGGAAAGGTTCCTCACCTATACTGGGAAATGTATAATCTCCTGAAGCACTTAAAAAAGATACACTACAACCTAAGAACTTTTTTCCTTACCTATTAGTGTGAAGTTGGCTGTTATTTTAATACAATTTGTTCTCAAAAACTGGTGAGACTTCAGATACATAAATGGGGTAAAGAGAATTCCAAGGGCTTAAATTTGGATCAAATATTCAAAGTGCTGACGAGATCCGTTTCAAAACAGAGCTTCTAAACTGTGTGTGAAACTACTCTGAAAAAATTAAGAATACAGTATCACTCATTTCAGACTCAAAAATCTGTGATTCCATTCAGGTATGCTTCACATGTGTTTAAAAGGTACAACATATTATTTTATTAACCAGACTGTGACATAGCCAGTTGATCATCTATATAATTTTGGGGAAGACTGATTTACATTCCAATTCATTCATTTTTCTTTTTACTATTTATTTTTCTCCGTCAAAATCAAATTTTTACTGTAATGCACTTGAGAGATGCTAAAGTAATTTTGACATTGGCATGTTCTGTGTTAACATTCAATGAAAGCTTTCAGAGCAACAGAATTTTTCCTCAGTTTAATTACAAAGTCCTTGAAATAAGAGGGCAATTAAATACTTCAGTAATTACAAGATGTAAAAACATTGTATATATCTGTATGCATTATGTTCCTGAATGAAAAATCAGGGTTTTTTTTTTTGCAGAATGTATGACCTTAAATTTTGAAGATATATAAGTAGTGTACAAAAATTATTATGACAATAATTGAAGTTTTGCACTCAACACAAGAGGTATGCTTGCAAACTCCAAAATCAAATCTGGCTTGAACAAGTCTAAATTTTACCAGAATAAGCTTTGCAACCCTTAGGGGGAAAGAAATCATAGGAAAGAGTTTCATTTATAGAAAATAAAAGTTCTAAAATAAGTTTGCTAATTTCTTAAGTCCCTACAGACTTTAGGCAAAAATATTTTAAAATGACAATCTTTCATTGTAAGATTTCTCTTTTATTTAGCCGTTGGCATTAGAAATCAAGCTGGTGAAAAAATCTGGAAAACGTTTTTTCCATGTATTTGCACTATGTCTTCTAACAGGAAATTAATTTGTATGAAATATTAATTTCATTGTAGCATCTTTCTTATAACTTTTTAATATCACTTTGAGTTTCCTCACTTCTTAAATTCTCGGTGTTCTGTGTAAGTTGTTCATTTTTGTACTATTTAATCTCTGCCTTCCTCAACCTGTTGCAATACAGGAATATTGAGCTACAGCAACTTCCATCATTCATAGCCAGCAAGTCAGGGAATTTGAAATCCAACAAATCTGGAGAGAATTACTTTGGAGACATATAAAAAATATTCCTTTAAGCAGGCCTTGTTTGTAGATACCAGGTAGATGTTTTAAAACAAAAAGTGGTTGTTAACCATTGTCTTCCAAATTGAAAGTAATAAGTTTTCTTCTATTTGATATATTTGACATTAGCTAGAGTAGAACACCATAATCTACCCTCAAATCCTGACCTAGTTCTATGGTATTGCAGGCAATCTTCTTGGGTTGAAAACATTGTCAGGCAGAAAGCACTTTGATTTCCCCAATCTAAAGAAATTCATTGTTTGGATTTAAATTGGCCCTAAATAATTTAGTGACATCAAAGTCAGGAGGTCAGTCACTACTTTTGTAAAGTGTGAGGGTATGAAAATGCCTCATATATACAGCAGAAGTTTTTTATATTTTCTTAAGAGCATTTTTCATGTTGATGTACCACTCCATAATTGGAGACAAAGCACTGTGGTATTGGAGGCAATCTTCTTGGGTTGAAGACACATTTGGAATATCGATGGTGTTAGTCAATAGAATTAGAGCACAGATGTAACAACTAGCTCCACCATTAACCAGATTGAGATGGTATAAAATGTCAGCAAAATAGTTGGTGATAAATTTATTATTACTATTATTACAGGGAGGATGAAAAGTGCCTTTGGGATTTCCTATCTCCAGCAAATGTATTAGACACAGTACAGTGCCCTTTGTCTGGGTGGCAGGAGAACAGTGCCATGCGCTGCCCAGTAGAAGGGTGTCAACATCTCTTGCCTTGACCTTGCATGCAACTAATATAGAAAAGACCTGGCAGATAAAGCACACCATTGGATAACTGTGTTTTAGTTTCAGAGTTGCACAAACATACAAATAGAAAACTATGTATCTTAGCAGAAGAGAGAAAGAAAGTGGGTAATAGTCTTTGGAATTTGTACAGAAAAATTAGTAGGGCTTTCAGCCATTTTATTTGAGGAAGTGCTTCCAAAAAAAAAAAAAAAAATTCTGAACCTGTCCGACTGCAAGTGCTTAACCACGAATCAATTCCTGGTGTTCATAACATACAGCAAAAAGTTTCAGAACTATTTTTTGTTCAGCTGCATTAGGAATGCTGACTGTGTAAAACCAGCCGATAAAGAATTAACTTATTTTCCTCTGTCTTTTGTTGCAATGATAGCATTTATTCTATCTACTGAATAAGTATAAAAGGCAAAAGAAAATGGAAGGAGGGGTGTTCCACAATTCTGCGTAAGGCAACACTGATATTAACACACAAGTGAAAGAACATGTAAACTATATACAGTTTGAAGTGGGACTTCCTCTTCCCAATTCTGCTCCCACCCCAAATAAAAGCAAAGCTCTCAACACATAGAGTAATAACAACATTCCCAAACAGTTCGTATTTGACTCACAGTTCTGAAGACAATTTCACATTTTAAAACACCTTTCTGTAGGCTATTTTTTAAATTGGCCAGTGCAAAGAGGCAGAGGTAATGCCAGATGTGGACTCCACATGACTTCTGCAAACCCTTTCCCCCAAACAGGAGCACCTTAAGTGGGACAAAATTGAAAGTAGCAGGCTCTACATCAGAAATCCTTCTCTCTGGTGGCAGGGACTTGGGCATTTCCTTGAAGCCATCTGTTTATTGGGCTTTTTCTGGAATTTGGCTCGCCCTCAGTTTGGTAAAGTATCCAGTCCCAGAGAGGCAGCATGTTGCTTCGCTCGCAGCCGGAGATTCTCAATACTGGTTGTTTTACTGTTCAGGCTGGGAAGAGTGGAAGATGCCTGGAGAATTGGAGAGGACCACACCTGCTGGGCGTGGGAGAGGGACTGGTAGTAAGACTGGCAATGCAATGAGCTTAGGGGTGCCATGTTGACATTCATGCCCAAATATGGCATGGTAGAAGGGCTTCCCATTTCAAAGGACGAATAATGGACCAAGTTATTGGTAGCTGCCATGTGTTGGCGGAACTGCTCTTGAAGGCGGAAGAGGCTGAGAGGAGAAGACGAATAGGAATGCGCTTGGGACATGCTGCTGCTGGAGGATGCGGTGGCAGCAGTGCTGATAGGGGAATCTGCATTGTTAAACACAACAAAATCAAGTCAATGAAGACCTAAGCTCTGACCTGGAATGAATAAATTGCATTGGGATTTTTAAAAGTTGTCTCAAGTTCTGGGCAGCGTTTTAAGGGAGAAAGAATGATGGATGTAATGCCATGCTTGAAAACATGAGTTGTGTATACAATGGGTAGGGAACCTCTGGCCTTCCCGTTGCTTCTCTGTAACTGCCAGCAGCCCCAGAGAGAAATCCCAGTGCCAAGAGATGTAGGGAGATGTATTTAGCAACCTCTGGAAATCTACAGCTCCCTCTTTCATATAAAAGAACTTGGGTCCCAGAATGTCAGATGCCACTGGACGCATTCTTGTCTGAAACTCTGCCAATAGTTCTTAGTAATTTTGATCCAGATAAAACATAATAGCTTCAGGAACAGTAATTTGTTCTTCCTTTCATACAAATGCAAAAACACTTTAGAATTGTTCACTTTATATATCATCAATTTCATTCAGTAGGGATTTACAACAAAAATTAAAACATGCATACATTTCTAAGCACAGATATTCATGCAATAATAAACGTATAGACCTGGGTTAGAAGATGTTAGAAGATTCCTTTAGCAATTGTAAAGAGAAAGTTCAAAGGAGGAGAAAATAATATTGTCTGATCTAAGTCTAAGGCCAAAATTTACACAGCAGCCATTTATAACATTTCTGTTTCCTTTATTGCTGTCATGCTCAGTGTTACTACATCACTCCTTTGCCAGACTGTTATGTGACAACAAAGTGATGGTAACATGAACTTTCTATATAGGCAACCTCATTACTTGGCACCAAGCATTTAATCTTTAAATATTTGCCACATAGCTTGGTATATGCCTGGATTGAACTCATCCAAGAATTAATCACTTGTGTGAAATGTTATCCTTGCATTCATTAGAGCAAAAGCTGAATGCGAACCTGCATTGTAGGCTGGAAAAAACACATCACACTAAGATGAATGTAGGGCTTCTGCTTGTAGGAAATAGCTGAGAATGCTGTACGTATCCCTTCACCTTGCCATATTTGAAAAATTGCTCTAAAGCCTCACTAAGATGGATGAAGGTCTTCCCTAATTTTTTACAATATAAAGCTGCAACATTGTGATTCTAAGACCGGAGTTAATGGTAGTCTTTTCTGGCGATACCTTCACACATAACAGTTTGTTACCAGGTTAAGGCTCAGTTTGAAGTTTAGGTAAAAATGGGCAACTTTAGGGTCATGACAATGCTTTGAGAGTATTGGGGATTTTTGAAATAACCTCCTAGCTAGCCCAAGTTCCCCAAAAAATGAAGCAGCCACATTGCTTCATTGGCATTGTTCTGTCTGACTCAGTGAATGAAATAATGAATGTGAGATAACGGACTAACTCAAGACATAAAAGAAGCCAATTATGACAAATGTTTAGGTCACTTTTCTTCAGAGACAAAAATTCCCTTTTGAAATAATCTATCTTTAAGTGACTGAAATGGTTCAGTGTGGTTATTTTAAAGGGCTTTTAATGTTCTCAGTATTTTCTGAGAACATTGTCCTTGTTGTATGTTTCCCTTCTCTACCCTCAAGATCTTTTTTTTTAAAAAAACCTTTTACATTGTTAAGAGATCTGGAACCTGAGTTTGCATACTTTAATCTAACGTGGATTTTGAGATAAAAATTCTTAGCAAAGGGAATTGGTTTTCTTCTGACCTGCTTTTGGACTTGTCCTCTTGCTGTTCAGCACCTTGTTTTCCCCTCCAGGGCTTTTCTCTTCCTTGTTCTCCTCCAGCGAGATCTTGAATTCCTCCTCTTTGTCTGTCTGGTCCTCGGCTGCTGACTCACTGGCTGAATGCTCAGAGAGAGTCAGGCTGAGCTCTGCATTCACCTCCCTTGGTAAACTCAGAGACTTGTCTGCATCGAGAATTGGAGTCGGTGTTTCTAACACAGAAGTGTCTGCTTTGCCTTCACTGTGATTGGCTTCTGAGTCTTTCTGCTTCTGTAGCTGCTCTTTCTGCAGACTGCGCTGCTTCTTTCGAAATTTAGCTCTTCTGTTTTTAAACCAAACCTTTGTTTCCCCCCCAAAACAGGAAAGAAAGAAAAGGGGGAAAGTAAAGAATAAAAGGTAAACATTTTGTATTGAATATTGAATCTTCCTCATCATGCCCACTCCAGAAACCTTAGCAAATTACATGTACAAATTCAAACAAATTCAATGTTTAATCAGCATATTCTCCTGTTCATAAATGGCTAGCAGTGAATGCCTAACTTTTTTGGTTTGAAAATAACCTGTAATAAATCTGGGTCTGATAAAGGTGTAAAATTAAAGCAGATAGAAGATGTTGATATCCTATTTAAATTTAAATACTATTCAGACTTAAACCCCATTAAGTGTATTTGAATTTATTACTGGGTCAATATGCATAGGTTAGTGATGAACTTCTGGGGAGGATCATGACGAAAAAGCAGGAATGGCAATACAATGTAGATCAGCAGCCAGATCAGCAGAGATCAACAGGCACAAATATTTCTGGATAAAAGAGAGATCAGGTGATCACCCATTTGCACTCTGGATAGCTGCTTCTCATGAGTAGACTGCAGGAACTGAGGATTTCACAATCAGCATGTAATTAATTTATAGCTAAAGAGATATTTTCTAAGTGATGGGATAAGATTCCACTTGGTGAGTTATAATTCTTTTTTGATTACAAAGAAAGGAAGAGCTTTAATGACTTACCTTTTTTTTTTTTTGCAAAAAGCTTGGCAAGGAGCTGATACAAGAAAGTTTAAAATAGAGGAAGGGGACAGTTACTTTGAAAGATAAAGTTTTTGTGAAAATGCTTTTGAATAAATTGAAACTGTATTAGACAAATCAACCAGACCTTTGTGGGAATGTTTTCTGTTTACTATTAAAAAGTCCAGACAATTGATAGATTTTGGAAACTAAAAGAAAAAAGTAATGAGTAAGACTGTAATGCTGACTGTAGCTATGAAGATGATGATTGTGAGATTGATTATGGAGTGGCATTAAAGACAAAAGTATTAAAGGCACAGAAAGATAAAAGGGGGGAAAGTTTGTCTCCCCTCCACTTCTTTGAGCCACTTTCCTTTTGGGATTACAGTACAAGCAAGACAACTAGAAAAGCAGTGACAATGGAAGGGAGGAGAGGATAATTAGTGCAACCTGCAGAGGAAGGAATTAAACCAGATTTGCTTCAGGAAATCTTTGAGGAATTGGCCAATATATTAGCAGAGTCACTTGATACTGAAGTAACTAAATCATTTTTTACCCAATTGATAATTTTTGAAAAAAGAATAGGTGAAAAATTTATAAAGATGGAAGAGGAGATGAAAGATGAAGTTAAACAGACGGCAAGCTTGTAAAACAAGTGTCCATGTAGTAAAACAGGTCAATGACTAAATCGAACATTTTAGAGAATAAGACAGAAGTTATAGCTAGAGAATTGAAAAGAGAACTAGATAATCTAGCTCTACTGGAACTGAGAAAGAAGGAATTTTGTTTCAAACTTAGAGCAATAAAGGAGGAATAAAGATATTAGAGAAGAGTTTATTAAAGCCCTGGCAAACATTTTGGATTAGGAAGAAGAGGACACTGAAACAGAAATTGCTAAAGTATGTAGAATAAATTCCAGATCTGAAAGAACAAGAAACGTACTAAGGGATATTTTGGTGTTTTGTCAGGAAGAAGACAAGAAATCAGCTTTTGCAGCAGCATTTTAATACAAGTGATAAATCAGATATAACTGCTTTTACAGAAATTCCTATTAGAATTTTGCATAAAAGATATTTTTTTGACTGAGAGATTAAAGCAGAAAAAAAAATCCCATTCTGATGGGACAAATTACAAGGCGTGATTTTTATAATTAAATAGCAAAAGTTTTATGTTAAAAAAATGAGGGAATTTTTAGAAAAATTCAAAGAGAAATAGGAGAGCCAAATGGAGGTATCAGAGAAGACTACACAAAAATGCTAATAGTACAACAAGAAATTGAAAGATGATACTGAAGCAGGTGCTATAAGCATAGCTTTTTCTAAACTTTTGGCTTCATGATGGAGTAAAAATGCTTAATGTGGAATATAAATGGAGCAAATGCAATTTAAAAGAAGGAAAATGATTATTTTTTAAAAAAATAAAACAAGATATAATTCAAAGTCTTAGCCCCATGCAAATTAACTTCTATCCCAATAAATCTACAATGCAGATCAATCAATACAAGATCTTGTTTTAGTTGGAGATTTATGAATAAATCTCTTTCTCTTTTTTGGTTGTTGCTGCAGAAGTAAATTCTTCACCCACATTTTTATGATTTCATGATAAAGGAGGCTAAATTTGTTGGTTATAATATACAGATGGAAGAATGTGGCTGAAAATATTTAAACTTATATTATGTGTAATCTTAAGGAAACTTTTATAAGATGAATATCATTGGTATTTGCCACCAGAGAAACTGTATAAGGACCCTTTAAAATTATGATGGAAATGTGAACAATAAGAATGGACATTTTATTATCTTTAGTAGATGTGTGAAAAAGCTAGAAAATTCTGGATCCAAATACATACATTGCTTTGGAGGATCTTAAAGATTAATATACAATAGAAACCAGAGCTGTTCTTTTTGGAAGGGATAAACTGGATAAATAGTTGGGAAAATGTCATGGACATTTTTTTTTGTACATGATCACTACAGCAAGATTATTGTATGCATGACTTACATTGACTATTTGATCAAAGAAAAGACAATATCTACATTTATTGCTGACCGGGAAGGTCTTGTAATTTTTTTGTATGGAACAGAAAAAAATTAAATTCTGATTCATGTTTTTGATTATTAAACAGAATAAATTTTAGAAAGAAGACAGAGATGCTGTAACCATAATGTAAGAGGTAAACATATAATTGTACTTATAACTGTTGTGAAGAAAATTGGGAACTACTTCTTTGAATCTTTTTTCTTCCTTTTCTATTTTTTTTCTTTTCCTCTCTTGCACTTCTCTCTTTTTCTTACTTTATATCATGTTGCATTAGTTCTTATATTTAAAAAAAAACTTTAATAAAATTATATAAAAATATATGCCTAGGATAGTGCTGTGAGTTTAAGATCAAGTCTTGGGTTGCCATCGTCAAAACAATTAATTTGGATCCGGTGTCATTGGCAACTATTAGAAACGTATGTACAGTATTAAGTAAAAGCACGAATAATATTTTAAAGCGCATAATGAGGGAGAGCTACAAATTAACATGCCTTAACTTTACTGCATCTGCAGACTTAATTTTACAGCATGTTAAATATATAACATTGAATGAAGCTCATTTTTGTTTATAACAGTTTATGCATCCTAACCACTGTGCACAGAAGGTGTGGTAATTTATAAAATCTACCTTTTCACATGAAAAAGAGAAGAGAGACGAGGAAAAAGAGCATTGTTGGGTTTCCCCCCCCCCTTCTTAATTCGCCCATGGTATTCTGATTTTTCTGAAACACCTTTAAACCTGCTCCTCTGCACAGGCAATGATCTTGATCAGAATACGAGCTCCAAGCTTTCACTGTACATAAACAACATTTAGGCAATTGGTATGTATAAAATACATTAAGTGTGTTGTGCAATTTAACCCTATGCTTATAGCATATGAGCAGAAATAAGTGTATATGTTAATCACCAAGTGAGTGTCATACTTGAAGGACCAAAAAATACGGCCAAGAAGCTTGATCCATTTGTCTGGGTGTTTCATAATCATAGTATGCTCTGAAGCATCAATTAGAAAGATATTCATGAACTACATGATCTGTTTTCAGAGTTTTCAGAAGATCTAACATTTGGATTAAGGCTAAGAAATGACAGCACTCACGTATAGTCCCCAATCTAAAAGAAACCAACCCTCTTCCCTCTTAGCCAATAGGCATTTTTGCTGCTAAAGAACTATTTTATTCTTTAGATGCACTTAGTTGTGCCATTCTTAGACACTGTTATCGTGATAAAACAAGTATTCACAGATCGCCTCTGTTCAGGTAGTAGAACTGCATTTAGCTCAGTTGTCTTCCCATGAGAAATACTGATTGATGGGTACCTGTACTCTAGCCTCTGGCAGATTAGTGCACATTGCCAATCTCTCTCGCATCACCACATCTGGGTAGTGAGTCTTCTGGAAAGTTTTCTCCAAGGCTTCCAGTTGTTGGGCTGTGAAAGCTGTACGGCTTCTCCTCTGTTTGCGGTGCTGGGAGCCATAACGGGCCTCCAAGATGATGTCTTGAAACGTACAGCCGTTGGAAGATAAGAAATGTGCCAATTTAATTAGTGTAATTTGTGTGTTAAAACATTATAATATGGCAGCAAACACAAAATAATAATTGGAAAAAACTTCTGCTTCAAAGCTACCATCACCTCTAGGTAGACATCACTGCTTGATTTGACCAAAGAAAGCAACATGGCAAGATCCAAAAGTACAAGGCTGAATTGGTAAACATCATTATATTAGAAGTACAAGTAATTTTCAAACATTTGCTTTTGTATGTAAAGCCAGTCTTCCCTAATCAGGTCCAACGGGAAGTGATGGGTTTCAGCTTTCATAATCCCAGCTAGCAAAGTCAACAAATCTGGATAGTACAGGGTTTGGGTAAACATTAGGGATGAAAAGAAAGAATGGCAAACATCATGAAGCTCTACCTCTTTTTTGTTCTATTAACCTCTACTGTATATGTAGAAGATTATAGTCTACAGAGCTCAGCTTTCTGAATGCATGGAAGTATCCCTGAGAGTTCAGACCCTCATAAAACCTGGTAAAAAAAAGAAGGATCTTTGGGAAGATCCATTTTCTAAAATATGAAAAAAAGAGTCTCCACTGCAGAAGAGATAAGGATGTCCCAAGAGGAATCTAAAGAAGTCCTCCAGAGATTTCAAAATGAGAGAAAATAAACTCATTCAGTGGTAGCAATGAGTGAGATCTTCTCTCACTGTCTCTCGCAAATTTACACAAACAAAAGTGTATGGGAAAGAGGCTTTTTAAAACAGTGCATGTTTTGGAATGTGACATGCACAAAGATACAAATGCATTAAAGAAGTACTCTCGGAAAAGTTGTATTCAATAATGTGTGCCTTGGAGTGGGTTGTTTTGATTTTATTGTTCTTGCTCTTTTTATTCCGCAGTGTTTCAAGGATGGTTGTAAATTGCTTTTCTGGTGAGAAGTGGTTTAGAAATACTTTTAACAAGGTATTAACTCATTCATTATTTTCTGAATATTAGATGAAATTGACTGCTACTAAATATGGATGTTTCAGGCTTGCACTTCTTCTATAAGTATCACCAAATAAAGGAATAGAAGGGGAAGATGTAATAAAAACGAACAAAAATCACAGTCGTGAGACGTCCTGAGAATTGCAAGGAAGATAAATAAGTAAGTGCAACATACTTTCTTCCTCTCCTTTTTGAACCTATGCACAGCTGGAAAGATTGGACATTTCCAGTCATTTCAGCTCTGATTTTATTAAAGTGTCGGACCCCTATGTAACTCATGAGAGGGATGCTGTTCCCATACTCCCTCCACCTGGCACAAAACCCATCCTTGCTCTTACCAGCCAGTCTCTCTGCCAGTGTGAGGGCATGCACTGAGGGTCTGTAATCAGGTGCGTGCTGAGCTTGCTGTGCTGCTTGTTGGTGCAGGTTATACATCGCGCTCAACGAATTCATGGCATGGAGAGAATAGCCATTCACTCCATAGTGCTGCATGGTGACATAGGACCTGGAGCAACAGAGAAATGAAACTGGTTGGAGAGTTGTTGTTGAGGTAATGTATGGATACAAAAGAAACAAGAATGCTGAAAGTAATAGAGTTGAATCTCATGTTGAATGCAGGGTCCCATTTTCTGCTTGCAGTTCAAAGGATACATGTTTCATCTTTAATCCCTGTCCAGCTATGGATCAGGCAACCATAACAGCAACAGCTTACTTCCACGGTAGCTGAGCAAGATGGGGTAAATGTAATATAGAGAAACACAAATATGCCTTGCACTGAAGTTCTGAGGTGAACTGTTTAGAATGATGGATTGAGAAGGGGAAGATAATTTCTAATCCATATTGTGTTGCTGGAGGATACAGGTTCTATTTCACCCTAACCTACCTTATGGGGTTATTTTAAAGATTAAATAGATAACCCAAATCCCTGTACAATTTCCTGAGTTCGACAGAGAAAGCATGAGATATGACAGACACATAAGTAACCAAAGAGGGAGACCAATATCACAGTGTTGCCATTAGGAATATTCGTGTTCACAGTTTCTCATCCTCTTATGCCTTTCCATGGGATGGCTAATTCTCTTACCTCCCTCCAAATCATTGATTTTAAAACTTGGTATCTTTAAGAGGTGGACTTCAACTCCCAGAATTCCCTGGCCAGCCTTCTGGGAGTTGAAATCCATATATATTAAAGTTGCCAACTTTGAAAAACATTGGTCCAAACTCTCAAAATAATGAGTCCATTTTAGATCCCCCCCCTTTTTTTCTTTTTTGCTGTTTTTGCCAAACTAGATAGAAACCTTTATATTTTATATAGAAAATGCAATTTTGCTTGTTCAAAGAAAATATGTGTGACTGGTTAAACTTAAAAAATCATGATCACTTTCAAAATAGAAACATCTGTTTTTCTGCAAATAGTAATATTACTTTTCACCTTTATCAATATGCTTTTATAAACTTTATAGACTAGAATATGGGTTCTACTTGTCAAATCTTCTGCATTTCATAAATGAAATCTATTTTACTTGAAATGTGAATTTTATAAATTTGTAAGGAATAAATGAATTATATCAGAGTTTTATCATTCATGATGGAGAAATAATTCTCTTAAAAGGTACTATTCAAAATAAGCGTGAGGCATTCTAACCAAGATGTATTTTGAAATCATAAACATTTTCTACCCAAACCTATGGGGACTTAATGAACTTGATCCTTGTGATGAAGTTTATCATGTAGTTAATATAATTTGATTTTTGTTACTTACTCTTACTTTTCCAGTAAGAGATTTGGGATGCAGAAATTGTTTTATTTAGACAATTGATGATTTTCACAATTGCTACTTTTAAAGTGTGACCTTTATGTTTGTGTGATTTCCTCCAATGTTACAACGTCCAAAACATTGACATAAAAATGAAAAGAGAAGCACCAAGCAAGTCTGAAGCTTTGGGTGTTTGTCTGCTGTCGGCTACTGAATATTTTTTGTATACTGCTGAGAGGGAAAGTATCACTAGATATAGATTTCATCTCTAACTAGTCATCTTATATTCTCCAACACTGGAAAATAGGCAGCCTCTAGCTACAGCAGTCTTTTTATTCTGGAAATCCAGCCTTTCATAATCTTTCATTGGCATTTTGAGTCTTTCCATATTAGGGAGATAGAAAGTAGCTTTCTGTCATTCAGCTGAAATCACTGCTCAGCTATTCTGGATGATGGTCCTGCAAGGCCCTTTTCAATAATTATGGCATAAAGTTCCATCTGCACATAATAAAAGACTTATGGAAACTGGACAGAGGGGCTGTTTTTTGTTCTCTCCTCTGTGTTTTCTTTTGCCCTATAGATCATGGCTGTCAAAATCTTATTCCCAATATTGTGCTTTGTATGGCTTGTAGACAGATTTTATTCTTTATGGTCTGGTCACAATCATGTACTTTCTGTATCTGGAAGGATTGGGTGCAGGGGGAAAATGCAGGGAAACAAATGGCTCCCTTCCCCCATAAAATGTTAACAACAAGGCGTCAATGGCTGAAAGGAAATGTCACACTATATATACTGATAATGAACTCACTTCCCTAATAACAGCATCTTCATTTATATGAGAGGGAAAGAGGGAAAGAGGGAAAGAGGGAGAGAGAGAGAGAGAGAGAGAGAGAGAGAGAGAGAGAGAGAGAGAGAGAGAGAGAGAGAGAGAGAGAATCAATTCAAAGAAATGTCTGCTTTTGCAGAGAAGCAGGAATCTTTTTGAAAAAAATAAGTTAATCAAGAACCAATGAAATCCAACCATGCATAGCAATCATAGATAATTTGAACGTCCCTAAAGAATAATTTTATTTTTAATTTATTTATTGTGCATATTCTCCTGCCTCAAGACAAAGTGCGTGGTGAGATCCATGAACGTGCAGATTCGAATCTAGGTTTCCTTAAATTTAGTCCAACACAACTTTCTTTATACTCCATGATACACAGAATATTCGTCAATGTTTCCAAAACAAGCAACATAATCCTAGAAAAATTATTTTAACTCTGGTGTGATGACCTTGTCAATGTATCAAGTTAGTGATGTCAGAAGACAGTCAATATTGAAAGTATACATTGCTCATCTATTCCTTTCTTCATTTTAAAAATGTGAAGAGATCATAATGCTTCTTGTGTAAATTTTGAATATGACAACTTTTCTACAAGAGTGCAATAGAATGCCCAGTTTTGATTATTTTTTTGCTCCATAATGTGAAAGAACCTGACTCCAATCAACAACATTCAGAGAGATCAAATATACACATGAATATTTGACCATCCTTCTGCATATAAGTGCATAATAGTCAGACCCCACTGCATAGTTCAGAATTATTTTTTCAAAAAATGTCTATTTCATTTAATGATTTAAAAATTGTATCCAACTTCTTTATCATTGGGGGGCTAGCAAGCAACATCTAACTTAATTAAAGCCCCAAACAAAAGAAAAACAATCAAAAGCAACATTTAACTGATGATGCACTGTGAGATAAATAAAAGGCCCACTTGTTTAGAGACACACCATACAGGAGCCAACCAGTACTCCTTCAGCAGGAAATTGCACAATCACAATGTGACACAGACCCATAAAATTATCTGCTGAACTTTAGGTGTTTACCTGAGTGATTAAATAGACAGGTATAGCTGCCTGAACTGGGGATTAAAAAACCAACTGGTGCAGTGATTTGTGAAAGTTACCCACTGATTAATATCTGAAGATGATGGTACGTACATTCAAGTAGCTTTCCTATCAAAAATGGTGCACAAGGCTAGCTGAGATACCTTCTGCCTTCCCTGTTGTTTCACAGGGCTTGAAAAATCACAGTGAAAGCTGATGAATCTGAACATTGTTCTCTTCTCTGAAGGGGCTGTCCCAAACTATATTTTGGACCAGGTGAAATATGCTGAACAAATCTTAAAAGGCAGTCTTTTCTAGGCAAGCTTGAACTTTCAAGATTCTGAGAAAAATAGACCAGTAGATTTCTAATCAACAAACCTGTCTTCAGATCTCTAGGCAGACAAGACTCACGTAAGGCTTTGTTGTTGGGTGTCATTAGTTTGTCTAGCATTATTCAAGAAGTAGAAGAGACTCTCAGCACCTGGAGGTAGAGAACACACCCACTTAAGTGTGTAAACTAAAGAACAGTAGCAGTTAGGGCAAATTTCTATTAAGGAGCCTTACATCTTTACCTTGTAGCTATGACAGATTACATTTAAGCTTTGTCACCTATATTTACTTCTGGTTTTCCTGCTGATTCAAACAAGGGATGGGGAATAAATGAACCCCTTATTTTTATTCTTATACTTTTAACTCAGCTGTCTTTCAGACAGTTCAGGGCCATGTAATGAGATTCTCCAATGTCCACGATAATTCTGTAAAGCAGGTTAGGCTCAGAAGAGTAATAAAGTTACCCAAAAGGAGGCAAGGTTGGAACTTTTCCTTGAACCCAGAATCCCTAATCTAAGTCCATGTTCTAACTACTAATTGGCTAAATAATATAAATGTGGAGATGGAAACACATCGTGAAGATGCAGTACAATTCTGAAAAGGCCCTCAACACAAGATAAATGCAATAAAAGCAGAACAGGCTGAAATCAGGCATTTTCTGGCAGGACACATTATTCAAAGCCAGGAAAAAAAGAAGGACCTGGGAAATAATAATAATAATAATAATAATAATAATAATAATAATAATAATAATAAAGTTGGAAGGGACCTTGGAGGTCATCTGATCCAACCCCCTGCTCAGGCAGGAAACATTTTAGACAAATGGCTGTCCAGTCTCTTCTTAAAAACTTCCAGTGTTGGAGCATTCACCACCTCTGGAGGCAGGTTGTTCCACTGGTTAATTGTTCTAACTGTCAGGAAGTTTCTCCATAGTTCTAGGTTGCTTCTCTCCTTGATTAGTTTCCATCCGTTGCTTCTTGTCCTGCCTTCAGGCGTTTTGGAAAATAGCTTGACTCCCTCTTCTTTGTGGCAGCCCCTGAGATATTGGAACACTACTATCATGTCCCCCCTCGTCCTTCTCTTCATTAAACTAGACATACTCAATTCCAGCAGCCTTTCCTTATATCCTTTAGCCTCCAGTCCCCTAATCATCTTTGTTGCTCTTCTCTGTACTCTTTCTAGAGTCTCAACATCTTTTTTACATCGTGGTGACCAAAACTGGATGCTGGATAGGCACATGCTTGGTTGAATTGGCTACTAAATATTACCAGGAATGATTATTTTAAAGAAAATTATTTAAAAAATAGATTGCTAGACTATAAAAGTATTTTCTTTCTTTGACAAAGAAAGATAGGCAGCATATTGCAGTTGATAGAATTGGAAGATACTCTGTTCTCAGGAGTGAACAAGAGATACATGAGTCAAACCTGGGTAGAAAATTGGTTAGAGATGAAGGAATATTTATGAGCTGAATAGGTAACTTGAAAAAGCTACACCTTTTTCCTTGGAGAAAGGAAAGGGAGACGTGGAGGGGATTCTTACACACTAT